TGTAGTCAGAAGGGTGAACTCGAAGGATTGCATCCACTCAGTGAGACCTGAAACGTCAGCCTGGGTTTCTGCTGTCAAGTCCAATTCTTCCTCTGTTTTGAAGAGAGAGTTCAGCATCTCTTTAGGATTTTTCACGAGGGAGCGAACAGCATTGATTCTCGAGCTCCGCTTAGTTGTCGACATGGAGCGAAGAGCGAGTCCTGCAGTTTCCTGAAGAATTTTCCATTTTGCAGGCCCGCATGAAAGTACAGTATACAGCTTCTGTACATTTCCAAAATAAGTTTGCACTTCAGGGCTCTTCTCCATGGCATGGGTACCACTGCAGGGTGAAAACAACACCTGAGGATTTTCATCCTGTATCCTAGTTTTTACGCCCTGTTATTTCCCAGACATAGTTGAAGCATTGTTATGCTCTTGGCCTCTACAGTTCTGCAACTCTACCTTACACTCCGCCAGTACTTTCTTTATCTGCTCCTCAATGTCTACTCCTTTCTCTTGATCGCAGTCCAGAAATCATTCCTGCACATCCTGTTTTCCATCTCTCTCATGTACATCTCTCGTGATAAATACCAACTGCTCAGTATGCGAGACATCAAGTGTCCCATCTAGGATGACTCCATAGTAGCGAGCATTTCACACCTCCTCACGAATCATATTTAGCACTTCCTTGGCACGCACCTCCAAATTCTCATTCTGACTACGTCAGGACACGTAGTGTGCTTGCGTTCGCTCCCCAGCCATTCGACGCTCCGTAACAGTTTCAAGGTGGCAATTCAGATCTTTTCTGTATTTACTGATGAGCTGTGCAGGAGAAAGAAACAACCCGCTGTCCTCAAGCTCCAGTGTAGAAATTTTGCTCTGCCAGAAACAGGGTAACGGCAACCAGACCTCGCAACACTTTACGCCACATTTCCTTCTCTGAATGTATACCCTTTTCAACAGCGTTATCACTGGCTCCTTTTCTGCCAAGAGCATTTGCAAGATCTTTCCACTCTAAATAATGTTAAAGGTGACCAGAATTTGTGACTTGTGACTCTTCACTTTCTCATACAGTTTTCTCCAGTTATCATTCACATCCCCAGGGCAGAAACTGCAATGGTAAAGGGCTTGATTTTTGTTCTGATCTGGGAAGGGACAGCATGGAGAGCAGAACAGGCCAGCTGCCTCGTGGCTCCAAATAAGCCACTCTCATCATTGGACAGCCTTGCAGAAAACAGATGTAGGGAATGACCGTTTGGAGGAATCACGTGAGAAGCTTGCAGGTTTGGGTGGTGGGCCCTTGGACACAATCAGATCCCTTTGCAACCTATCGAGATGCCCCCAGGTGCCTGGGTCATTAGAGTACGTTTCCTGGTGCAGCTCAGGCGCAGATCCGGAAACCAGTTTTTCCTCATTTGATGCTATGTCTCCTTCGGCTTGCACCACCAAACCTGAGTCGTTTTCACATTCTCCTGCTACATCACGGCTTGCTTCCTGTGTAATATTTTCATGATCAGACTATTCTTCATCCCCTGCAAGTGATGTGCCACCTGCATCACCTGTTGCACTTTCAACTTCCTTATTTCCTTTCACCACCCAGCCAAACCGATCTAGTGCCTGCCTCCCCTTTCCATCCCAAGCTTTTTTTCCTCCTTTGTCTCCTTTCTTTTGGATGCCCCAGATTGATAGGTGTGCTTCATTTTTTCTTACACAGGGGTAAGGGGATAGGAACCGGGTTGTGCTTCTCTTCAGCACCTCCAATTTCCAAACTCCTGCTGGCAGAGCTTCTCTCTCCTACCACTTTCCTGGGGCCTGGCTCAGTCTCCCAGGTCTCCTGGTTGTGGCCTCTACTCAGGAAGGAGGGGTTCCTCCCTTAAGGCCTGGCCTCACCCCACTCCTAGGCCTTTTGCCTGTGGTATCTGCCACAGAAAATGACTCTCCAGTGGGACCTTGCCTGTAAATTTTAGCTGGTGCTCATATAACCCCTATAAGCTGGGTTGTGCTTGGTTCAGGCTTGTGGGTCTGGCAGAGGAAAAGCAGCCCCTGCCCCTGTTAAAGGCAAAAGAAAGTAACTGCAGAGAGAGTAGACAGAGGAAGGAGGACAGTCTTTGTACTGTTGGTGGAGAATAAACTTGTATGTTTAGCCTTTAACCCCTTGATCAAGGGCGTTGTGAGACTGTTCATATTCTTATGGGCCTTAGTAAGAAACCGCCGCTGTTTGAAGGGCCAGAAGAGAGCAAGTCATCTCGGCAATACTGAAAACAAGATTTGCAGTTTGGAGCACAGGCTTCTTCAGTCAGGAAGGACTTTAATATTTTTCCCCACCCCCAAGACTTAGATTCATAGATGCTCGGGTCGGAAGGGACCTCAACAGATCATCGAGTCCGACCCCCTGCCTAGGGCGTCAGACTTATATAGACACTTTGCATTAAGTCCTTTTTGAAGTGGGGAAATACGTGAACCTGCACACGTGTTATGTCTAGCATTGTTATTTTCTTTGGCAAATGTAAAGAAAGCAACATATATCATTTTAATTATTATTTTCTTGCAAATTCATTCAAAGGACAAAACGCTGACCTTCACTCACGACTCGAACGCGTTCCCCGGGAGGTCTTTCTGCGAGAACAGGCCAGCTCTGCCACCGACCCCTCGGCAAACCTTCCCCGCTCCTTCTCTCCTCACAACGCGCTCTGTAACCTGGGCTGCTCGGCCCAAACCCTCGGTTTGGCCCGTCCTGAGCCTGATCACTCCTGTCTCTACTCCTGCCCGGAGAGAAAGCAGCATCGCCTCCCCAGGAGTGGTTTAGACTCCCCCTGGACATCAACGCAACACCCCGCTGGTCTCAAACGAGCATCTGTTCACGCACAGCGAGGTGTAATATTTACTTTGTGGTCGGGGACGGGTCCCACAACATCATGACGACACGTTGAGAAGGATCGAGTGTCACCTTACGCACAAAAACATCAATTTCCTCTTTTTTTATGAAAAAATACCAAGAATTGTGGTGAGCGATGTCGCAGGGCAGGGGAGGGGACAACGGTGCACACGGGAACTGAGGCAGGGGGTCCTTGCTTTGCAGGGGCCCAGGGCAAATTGCCCCAGTTGCCCCCCACCCCAGGCAGCCCTGAGGGCAAGAGACATTGTGTTGCCTGTGGACCCACTACCCAGGCTATAAGGGAGTAAATCTTGCACAAGGCCCTGGAGAAGGAGCACAGAGACTTGAACTGGCACTCCCTGTGCAGGCATGGAAAACCAGTGAGGGGCAGAGAGGCCCATCAAACTGCCCCAGGCAAACCTGCTGGTGGAAGGTGGAAATCAATCGACCTCCTCTGGCACTGTCCGTATGCCGGGGGGTGTGACGGACCGGGGCCATCACCCTGACCAGAGAGGCCGTTCTCTACGGGCACTTGGCCAAGCAGCAAGGGACCCTGATGGCCCCCGTCGACCAGTTCATCTCCTGCTCCGGGAACTCCCTGTGCAAGACCAGGAGCCTCCTCCTGAACAGACACACCACACTCACCGTGGACGGCTGCGCGAGATGTCCCGGTGCTACGGGAAGACGGGACAAGATGACAGGGAAGAGATGGCAGACATCATAGGGAAGAGAGGGGACTGGCACACACTGTTCAGAGGCAAGTCCCCCCATGACGAGTGACAGGAGTGGGGAAACAGGCAGGGAAGTTGGGAGGGGGGAGAAGAGAGGGTTGCATAACTGTGACGGTTAAAGGTGATGGTGATGGTGATGGTGATGGGCCGGCAGGTGCACGGCCTGTGGGAACGCGGGTGCGTGGTGCGGTTTTGTAACAGGAATGAGAACAGTGTCACTGTAAAGGTGTGTTTTGGATTTGGACTGTCAGGTGAACCATAGAGGACACAAGACAGGTATGATATATATATACTTATACACACACATACTTATGCACACATACACACATACATATATATATTTATACACACACACACTTATGCACACATACATATATATATTTATACACACATAAATTTATACGCGTATTTATGCACACATACACATATATATTTATACACATATTTATCCACACGTACACACATACATATATATATTTATACACACATACACACACATCTCATATAATTAAGCTAGGACTTTATATTGTTTTGCATATATATATGCTCACATGCAAAAATGATATCATGTCCTATTTTAATTAAACAGTTTCTGTTGCTGCCGAAATCCTGAGATCCTGAGCGGGACGGGGGGTGGGTCCACTACACCTGCTCTGTAAGGAGAGCATTTCCCCAGGGGACGAGGAGATCGACTGTGCGGGGAGGCAGGATCCGGCAGAGCAGAGGGGTGAGAGTCCAGCACCGGGGCTGTTTCAGAGGAATGGTCCTCGCGCTCCTTGTCTAATGCGCAAGGGACCTGCCCGCAACACACCGGTTGGCAACAGGTAAGAGAGAGCTGCTCCCAGCACCCACAGATACACGCGCGGAGCCTGTCGTAATACCCCAGAACATACGAATGCCCATGCAATCTTTGCTCGCCTTGTTTAAAATAGCCGTATGACCGGGCCGTTAGGTTTAAACGTGCTTTTAATCCTTAAAACTCTTTTCTTTTCTTTTTACAAAAAAAAAAAAAAAAAAAAAAAAAAAAGCAGCGAATCATTTGAACCGCCCGACACCACCCAGGTCTGAGCAGGCCTCGGCGGCACGGCACAACGACGGGGCGTGCGCAGCCCGGCTCAGAGGAGGGGAAGGAGGGTTTTACCACTCGGCAGCGTGCCGAGGCTCGAGCCCGGGTCCGTCCACACGCGGGGAGCGAAAGCGCCGCTTGCTCGGCGGGTCCTTCCCTTCTCCCGCCGCCCCGGCAGGGTCGCAGCAGCCCGCGAAGGGTGTGCCGGCGCGGGGGACGGGACGTGAGGGGACCCGGGATGCCGCGCGGGGCAGCGAGCCGCTTTTAAGGGCGTCCGGGCGGCAGGCGGGCGGGGCACCGCTGCAGCCGCTCCGGCAGGCCCCGGCGCCTCCTTAAGAGGGTCCCAGGAGGCGGAAAGTTGGTTTTGAGGGGTTTTTGTGTGTGTTCAGATAGAGGAAAAAGTTGCTCAGAGGAAGTGAGGGCGGCGGCGCAGGGACCATGCTGCCCCGAGCAGCCCGCGGCCCGTCGCGCCGCTGAGCGCCCGCGGGCCCGGTGAGTGCGCGGG